GCTTTAACTCACAATCCATGTGGTTTCTCCCAACATTTTGAGCTAAAGTATGCACTTCCCAAGTGCATTTAGATTTAGAATTATTTTTCCACAGTTAATCCCTGGAGCCCCAGTCAGACTTCCTTAAAGTTTCCTTCTTTCTCGTGGCACTTCTTGTGTGGGTTCAGCCAGGCCTGGGCTGCCACACCACAAAAAATGCTAGATTTACGTGCTGAATGTATCTTTTCTTTCCCCTCTTAAAACAGATTTCACAGCCCAATGCACCAGGACAGTGTCTTAAATATCTCCTTTTGAAAAGGTTTTATAAATATTTTGGGGGTTTGTGCGTTAATCTCCTCTTTCCAAATCTGAGCTGGGCAGGGAGGCATGCCTCAGCTGGAGTTTGTCCCCAGCCAAAAAAAGCTCCATGAGACCCCTCGTTCCCCTGGCTCTCCCCAAAACAGAGATCCCAACTCCCCAAGCATCACGCACAGGCTGTGGGATCCACATTTAAGGAGACCTTTATATGTGGAATCACAATCGTGGAAGGGTTGCGGCAATGCAAAGCAGGATGAATGTTTTGTTAATTTAACACTCTCAAAGCCTGTGTAAGCTTGCACAAAGGAAACAAAAATTGTAAATAATTACACTCAAAAGAGCAGGAGTTCCCAGCCTCTCCCATAAAAAGGTCAGGAATGGCACTACCTTTGCCAGAAATTCAGCCAGCCGAGGAGGAAAATACCTCTTGCAAGATGTGCAGAGGCCTGAGATGAAACCAAGTATTTATTCACACTTTAGGAAAGTGCTTTCTAACCCTCAGCCTTCCCTCTGGGATGAAGGCATCCTTTGTGGGAGCATCCTCCCAGAATGTGAAGCTGGGGTTGGTTCCATGACTTGTGTCTGCCAAAGATGCCACTGACTCCGGAATGTTGCTTTCTAACGCTCTGGAGCAATTTGCCTGGGAAAAGCCGCACGGAAAGGTCCGTGTTTGGAGCCAGCAAGATCAGATAAATGAAGGAAAAGTGCCAAAAGGGATCATACCAGGTGATTGTATGATGATGTTCTATATTGTCAGTATTTCTCTTCCAATGCTCTTGTACCTGCAGTGCACAGTAGTCAGGAAGTATAGCTTGAACAAGTATTTTCTCAATGAAAGCAAAGGGGGAGGTTGAAGCCTTAAAGACTCTCACTGATTTTAAAAACCAAGCCTTTAGCAATGCTCCGAGGGGAGAGACCCTCCGACAGCCCTGTCCTGTCTCCCAGCTGTTCAGCAAAAGCCTGACGAAGAGCTTATCCCGTGCATTAGGGGAAGCATTTCAGGAAAACCTGGACCATTTCACACCTGCGGGCAAAACTAACCACTGTCCACGATAAACATCCATGGATGGGAGCTGGGTAGAAGCACAGCACGGAAACTGGGATGATCCACACACCTGACACAAACTTTCCCCCTCCCCACGTCTGGAAAACGCTGCAACTCCTCCGCTCTAGAATTAGCTCTTCACTATGCAAATGGGAAAACCCTCAGCTGGGCACGGATTGGGATTTGCTGTCAAACTGTTCAAAACAAACCTAGATGTCGCTACACTCTTTTTTTTTTTTTTCCAATAATGCTTTATATTGTGCTTTTCCATTTGTGGAAAAATTCCAATTGTGCTTTCGCGTTCTCAGCTCGCCAGCAGAGCACTGGGCTGGTGACAAGACTTTGACGGTCATTTTGGGTCTCAGCTGAACCACCTGAATGTTTTCAAAAGGCACCGAAGGACCGTTGACTTGCATGTGTGAAATGTGTGAGTGGAATGACACGCAGGCAATCCCTCATGTTGTGGCTTCTGTTTGTTTGAAACAGAGTAAATCCTGCTTGTGAAACAACTGTCACAAACCAGAAACACGCCAACAAATAGCAAATGTGTACAAATAATGTTGTACGTTTTAACAGCAACCAGGACTTGGAGAGAGTGCAGGGCAGAGGCCAAGGTTCAAACAGAATAAAACCAGGTTCTGACAGTGAAATCCCTGTTTCTGCCAAAGTTGCTGTGCTTGGAGACAAGCAGGATCCTACTGCTGCTTGTGCCAAACGGGCGAGGTTATTGAGTAATCAGAGAGAATCATTTAGGTTGGAAGAGCCCTTCAAGATCATCCAGTCCAGCTGTTCCCCCAGTACTGCCAATCCCACCACTAAACCATGTCACCAAGTGTCACATCCACACAGCTTTTAAATTCCCCTAAGGATGGGGACTCACTACTGCCCTGGGCAGCCTGTGCCAGGGCTGGACAACCCTTTTGGGGAAGGAATTTTTCCTGTTATGTTTTGCAGGGGGAAAAAAATGGTGTAAGTGGGTATAATGACCTGTTTTTCATGTAGGGAAGCAGCTAATGGGCAGTGAGCATCCTCCATTGCTTCCCATCGCTTGTCCCAGCCACTCTGATTCCAGTTTTTGGGCAGGGGTGGATGAGCACACTTTTATTTTCCAGGAATTGAGGAGCCCAGCAGCAAGCAGCCATGGTTTTCATGTGCTGTCCCTGCAGCTTTGTGGCTGTTTTGATGCTTCCAAGATGGAAGTCCCTGAAAACCTGAGATGAATCTTGTCCCAGATTTTCTAGGACAAGGTTGGATTTTCCAATTCAGTTTTCCTACTAGATTTTCTTACCTCAGGAGGGGGAAAATGGCTTGGCCATCTGCTTGCCAATGGTTACAGAGGGATCTCGTACACCATGTGGAATTGTTCCTCCTGCCTCCAGACCTGCCCTGGGGCTGGATTCCCTCTTTAGGAGGCCAGGGTTGTGAGCAGAGTGATGGGATGGCTCCTTGGATGGCTCAGCTCTCTTCCATCCCCACAGGACAGGGATCCAGTTCTATCCTGGAACACACATGAAACACGGGAGCCTCAAAAGTAAAGGCACCAGTGATCCTGAGTAATTCCAAAGGGAAGGTAGATGTGCTGGGTTATTTACTATTAGCTGCAAAAGGTGCCTTAATTTCTTGCCTCTCTTCCCTCCTCTCTTCCCCAGCCAGTGCAGGGAAAAGAGCACTCGGAAGTATCGGGTTCTGCTTGCACTGGCAGTTCCAGATGGAACCACCATTGGAGCTGGGATGGAGATAAAACATGGAAGATATCCAAGTCCTACTTCATGTCGGGGCAAACTCACTTTTACTCCAAGGCAGATCTCCCAACAGCTGGGTTTGAGGTGGGGTTAATCCAGCTGTGAATCCAAGGGACCCCAGCAGTAACTGTGTGCCGTTTGCCCCTCTGTAGCCACAGCATCAGGGTCCAGCCTTGTGCTGGGATGAGGGCGTTCAGTCTTTGCCTTCCCTTCACGGACATCCAGGAGGCTGCCACAGTGGGAGCACACTCAGCCTCATCTTCATGGAATCACAGGCTGGTTTGTGTTGGGAGGGGCCTTAAAGATCATCTGCTCCATCCCCCTGCTATGGGACACCTTCCACTAACCCAGATGCTCCAAGCCCTGTCCAACCTGGCTATGAACACTTCTAGGGATGGAGCAGTCATAGCTTCTCTGGGCAACCTGTGCCAGTGCCTTACCACTCTCACAGGGAAGAATTCCTTCCCAATATTTAATTTAAATCTCCCCTCTTAGAGTTTAAATTTATTACTGACCTTTGTCCCATACCTTTTATACCCCTCATCCTGTCTGGATACCTGTCAGCTGCAGCAGGACACATTCAAGCTGTCCTTTCTTGGTTTCCAGCTCCGTGCTCTCCTGCTGAAGTGGCCGGTATTGCTGCCAGAGGGTGCTCAGGGACTTGTGCCTAAACCTCTCCCACTCCCTTTCCTCTCACATTGTGTGATTTCCTCCGGGAATGTCTTGGCAGAGCCAGGATGAGCCAGAACAAATTCCCACCTCCAGCTGGGAGCACTGGGAGCACCAGAGGAACGCCAGAAAGTCTGTGCTGTCCTCAAACCCCACAGAGGGGCATGTGAATCACAAAATCCCATATTAAACTGAGGGAGCTGATCCACAGCCTTTCCCACTGCTGCAGCGCTGGGAACAAAGGATGGATTTGGGGCAGAGAAGGGAAAATGAGGAGAGCAAGGGCCATTTCTCAAATGAGACCTGGAGATCAGCAAATGCCTGGGGCTGGAGCTGAATTCCCAGGTTTGGCAGGAGGCTGTTTGCTTCCACTCAGTCCCATTCACAGTTCCAGGGAGACTAAACAGGGAAGCAGCCAAGCGAATCACAAAGATTTGGGGCTTCATTTGAAAGTCTGCTCCGCACCAGCTGATGGAAGCAGCTGCCAGCCCCCAAATCCAGAGCCATCCCTGCCAGGTTCTCTCTCTCCAGCAAAAATGGGAGAGGCCCATGGAGACACTTGGGTCTGACAGATAAGGGTCTCCCAGACACAAAACCTCTGGATATGGAAACCTTCCCGAGCAGAGCTGCAGGTACAAAGAGGCTCATTAATAACAGGCTGGAGCAGGGACAGGTGAAACCCCATCATTTGCTGTCACTGCAGGAAGATGCATCTGCCAGGATGTTGTCATTCCCTTAATGGAAAACTGATACCCTACATTGAAGCAGCTAAATTGGATCAGTCCAAGTGGATATCCAGCTCAGCATCTCCTCTCCAGCAGTGGAAAACAGCAGATTCCTCAGCATGGCAGCTCCACATGAAGGGTCTAGTTAACGATGGATAAACAGCATCCTGTGGCGTGGCCAGATCTGTTGAAGATCATGGAATAGTTAGGGTTGGAAAAAATCTTCAAGGTCATCCAGTTCCCCCAGCACTGCCAAGGCCACGACTAACCCATGTCCCTAAGAGCCACATCCACACGGCTGTTAAATCCTTCCAGGGCTGGGGACTGCAGACAGCTCTTTTGGAGTTGAACAGTCCTTGGAGCAACCTGGTCTAGTGTCCCTGCCCATAGAACTGGATGGGATTTAAGTTCCTTCCCAACCAAACCATTCCATGATTCCATTATTTGAACACCCCCGACCCCTACAGGAGTGACCGAGGAGCTGACTACATTTCCCAGTGTGCCTCGCGGCGCGCGCGCGAGATGGGGCGGAACTTCCTCCCGCGCGGCCAATCAGGAGCGCCCAGGTGTCGCGGACGGGACGGGGGCGGAGGCAGTGAGAAGATGGCGGCCAAAAGCGGCCGGAACGGGCTCCTGGACAAGGTACCGCGGGCGGGGCTCCTGGGCCCGCCCCGACCGTCCCCCTGCCCCGGCCGGGCCCCTGGGCATCCCCCCGCCAGCCCTGGGCATCCAGCCTTCATCCCTAGGCATCCTCCCCTTACCCCTGGGGCATCCCTCCCTTCATCCCTCAGCATCCCTCCTTCACCCCTGGGCATCCCTGCCTCATCCCTGGGCATCCATCCTTCATCCCTGGGCATCCCCCCTTATCCTTGGGCATCCATCCTTCACCCCTGGGCATCCCCGCCTCATCCCTGGGCATCCATCCTTCATCCCTGGGCATCCA